AGTACCGATCGTTTGCGTTTCTGGGAGCTTGATCTGCTGGCTACGTGCAGAAAGGGGAGCTCCCCGAGGAAGGTGGGCTGCGCAGAGTCCGGGGATATGTGCACCTTCTTTTGCGAAAAAAAAATGGGCCTCAAACTGGCATCTGATATTTCTACAGAGAGGAGGGAAGAATTAAAGCAACTCAGATACCCTCAGGACAGGAGAGAAGAGAGATCCACCCATGTAAGAGAGCCAACCCTCTGTCTAGTACCAGACTTACATCAAAAACCATGTCCTGCAGGTGTGAGCAGCAGGACAGACCAGAGAGGCACAGACTGGAAAGCAACCAGACACACTGCTCCAGGAAAGTGACGTTTCAGAGCTGTTTTTCAAATAGACAGGGCAATACATCTCTGCATTCCAAAACAAGGAGCCTTCCAAAGGCCAAAGGGAACTGCAAGAGATGTGGAGGGAGATGCCTCCACATTTTGCTCCTCACCTTTTGGAACTCAGATCACTCCTGCCTTCTGCTGGTCACCTTTGCCCACCTCTCCACCATTCTGTCCTACATTCCAGAAGAAAACTGACTACAATATCTGCCCCTGTCCTCTCCTCTTGCAAAGTAAACCACTGGTGGCTTTATAAAGGAATCCTACTCCCTAGGATGCCGTAGTGCCTCAGCAACCTTCAGCCACCCCAAAAGACAACCCAGGACATTACCTGCAAGAGAAATCCTATCAGGGATGTGCATCCGAAAAGAAGGAGGGACATCCTCTGTCACTGGCTCCTCATCCACAGGGCTGAAGCTATCTGCTACCTTCAGCCTGTTCGGAACCTGCATCCTTTGATTGATGGCTTCTGTGAAAAGCAGGTCACAGCGGACTCGGTTCAGGTCCAGTCCCCAAAACGGCCACATCTTTTTTTATTTCCTTAGATTGCTTGAGCACCCTGGAGTTTCACACAAAGGAAAAGAAAGCTGAACGAAAGTGGTAGCAAGCAGCTCTTCCAAACTGGTACTGCACAGGGACAACACGTGTGCTGTAAGACAGATAAAATACAGGCAGAGACAACCCAAAAGCCAGACACCATTGGAGTTGTCCCGGAGAATGGGGTGTCCCACAAAGCCCAGGTGGCAGGGGCAAGGGTGTGGGGCCGCTGCAGGAGAGAACTCGTGCCTGGCAGAGTGGGAAAGGAGAAAACTCTACACGTCCTGGGAGCAAAGCATGAGCTTAGCACCTTGCCTCAATTGATAGCAAGGAAAGGGCAACAGCTCAGCACACCTGTGAGAGAAAAGCAGTTTCATATGCCCTAAAAACTAGTGAAAAAAAAATATTTTCCACCCAGAAGCAGAGTTTTTTGGAGGGCTGGGAGCACATTTTTGTGTTTGTACACCTTCAAGGAAAAATGAGGTTTTCTAAAAACAATACACATGGTTTTGGTGGTTACCACGGGAAAAACTGAGTGCTCAACTCTTTCTCTGCACACATGTTCACTGAAGTATCCCCAGGGCCATATCCCATTCCCCACCTGATTCAGCACCCCTCTCCTCGAGTGGCCCACATCAAGCTGAACAAGATGGACTTTGCCCCGAGCAGACCTGCCAGACGCTGAACCATCCTCTCAGAGGGCAAAGAAAAGCACACGTCAGCTCCTCCAGGCCAGCACCGGCTCGGCTCTCTTCCAAGACGGGACAGGCATCGAGGAGGGACACAGTCCCCAGCTCTCACTGCTCCTGGAGGCAGGCGACAGCAGGAGCAGGACATGGGACACCGACACCGTCTGGGGGCTTTGCAGCTGCTCAGGGCACATAACTGCCCTGTGTCTCAGTTTCCCCTTTGCCAAGTCCCAGGGCTTTGAGAAGTGTTCTGGGGCCACAATGTCCCAATGCTTTCGCTGAGTAATGCGAGCAGAGGGCAATCAACATATATTTTGGGGGGAGGAGCCCCAAAAAACACCTTCCTGACTGCCAGCATATGCATTCCCTATTCTTTCTCAAAAAGCTGCAGCCAAGGAGAAAACCCCAACAAGCAAGGGCTGCAGAGGCTGGTGGACCCCAGCCAGCCCCAGCATTGCCCACATGCATGTCCAGCCCCTCTGCACCCTCCTTGCTGCCGCCCTTTGAGCTCGCCATGTCCAAAAAGGTCCCCCTTTGCTTCCAGGTCAAAATCTCCACCATAAGATGGGCCGCCTGCTCCAGCACAGCCCAAACAGCCAGAGGAAGGACAGGTTTTCCTCTTCAAAGCTCAAGGGAGGGGAAATGGGAGGAGGCGAGCGTGCGGAGGCCCTATCTTTTTTGATCATGTCCAGGGACTATATTTAGCAGCACGTCTCTGACACTGCTGTTTCCAGCCCACACAGCCAGCAGCCGCCAGGGCTGCCCACAGCCACCCTCACTGCTACTTCTCGGGGCGCTTTGGACCCTCTCACCTGCCCCAGTCCCCTGCCACCCCGTGGGATATCACCCAGGGGAGAGGGGCAGAGGAAAATCCCTGGGGAGCAGCTCCCAAAGCCCAAAGGACCACAAGAGATGCGGCCCTTGAGCCACCAATCCCATCCCCGGCAGCAGCCAGGCCCTGGTAACTCCAGGTACCTGAGGCCTGTAGAACCAGCCCCACATCTACGATAACCAGCACTTCCAGTGATCACCTGCCTTGCGCTGCTCTCTCCTCCTCTCTCATTAAAAACCTTTTAATTAAAGGAGACAGAAATTTGCCCAGCATCAGCTGCGGCAATTTCCTGCTCCCAGCCATGCAGACATGAGATCCCAGCCTCTGCAACCACGTCTGCCCAAGAGGCACTGCCGGAGACACAGTGTGCACGATGCCCCACACCTTCTCCACCACCCTGCCCAGACCCAACACTGGCACGGGTAACACCAGCCCATGGGTGTCACAACACACATGCACGCTGCTTCTCCCCTAAACCTCGAAGAAAGTGGATTTTTGCAGGAACTCCCCCCACTCAGGAGTAGGGCAGTAAGTCCTGGGATGGTCCCAAAGCGGTGTCAATCCCACAAAAGAAACCTGCATCAGACACCCAGCCCCATGGTCCACAATCATGGAGACAAACAGGGTTTCCTTCACATTTCTGGTTCTTTAGAAGAACAAACACCCTGTGTTGCTTTCTCAACCTGCTGTCTGGGAAACCAGCATGTATTAATAACAATAAATCTGGAGAGGGCAGATCGGTTCATTTCCTAATCACCTATGAAACTCCTGCAGATCCCAAAGAGCAGAAGGATGGGAGGGGAGTGAGAAGCAGGCTCTGAAAGACTAAGCTATTAAGAAAAGAGAAAAATAAATCAGCTGTCAAAACCCATAACAACAAAACGCTTAAGTGGCTGGATTTCCTCTTTTAACTTTCTTTAGGGCTTTTTCTAGCTATTGCCAAGTAACACCCCCCACCACCACCACCAGTGGAAGACTGCTTCTCAGCTTCTGCTTTAGCACTTTTTGCATTTGCAGAGACAGGGAATTTCCAACTCACTAAGCCTGTGAGTAGGTGTAAGTCCTGCAAGCCTGGACAACCTGCCCTGGGGAGGGAGACCCTACAATCTTCCTCTCTCCATCACTCCCCATCCCAGTACGCTCCATACAGGGCAGGTGGGGGCACTGCCTGGTGCAGCACCCTGCCCTTCACCCCTCAGGATGGGGTGCTGGAGCAAGGAGCCCTCTGCTAGAGGAGCTGACCCAGCTCACAGCTCTGCCCTTCGGCTCGGGGCTGTACCTTGTCACGGCAGAGAGGGGCTCACAGGGAGAGGAACGGGTTTTGTCACCCGGTTCAGGTCCCGCAGCCGGCCACGCAGAGCCGGGGTGACCCCTCTGCCCCCCGCATCC